ATATTAAGTTTTTGTCGAAGTTTCGCGATTACTAATTCATGATCCGACCCACATTCTGCTCCGCGATAAGACCGTACATTAATTATACTGCTTTGCCAGCTGTGTTGTATCAAGACATGATCGATTTGATTTCGTGTTTGCGAATCCGGTGATGTCCAAGTATATTTATGAATATCCTTATGTTTAAACGTCGTACTTTTAATTATCAGGTTTTTCGAGATGGCAAAGTTTATCAGACGGATCCCATTATCATTACTATATTCGTGCAAACTTTCTTTACCAATCGTCGGAATATAAACTTCTTCCCTTCCTACCTTTGCGTTCGCGTCACCTACAATTATTTTAATGTAGTTTCGTGGTAGTTTATCATAAACCCATTCGAGTTTATCGTAAAATTCACTTTTGACTTCATCGTCACTGTCTTCGGTCGGACAATGTATGTTTATTAATGCGATTTTAAAACAACGTCCCTGAAATGTAGCTACCGAAACTCTATCACTAAAGAATTGTACGTCCCTCAAAGCGGATAGTAACCTACTCCTAATTAGAAACCCGGTACCCAAACAATGATTCCCGCTTCCTCCGTACCAAATAGTGTACTTTCCTTCCCTCATCGAGCCCTCCCCTGGCCAGCGAACCTCTTGCAGAGCCACGACATCCAAATTGTACCCATTTACCTCATTCGCGACCGATTTTAGCCCCCCTGCTGTGTTTAAACTCCTTACGTTCCACGTACCAATATTCAAATCCCTATATTTCAACTTGCACCATGAATCCCCTAAAGCAGTCCCCACCCGGAGACCCGAACGGGGGACTAGTTTACCTCCGGATAATGAGCGTTTTACCTTAGGGAGATCCATGACTTTTTGTGGTGTTTGGTGAACTAAAGATATGTGAGTAGGGCGTTCAATCCTACGTCACACCCTCCAGCAAGTCTGGTGGGCCCCTACCTCCAGCAAGTCTGGAGGTCCCCTCCCTCCAGCAAGTCTGGAGGGCCCCTCTCATTGTTGGTCAACGAGTCCATCGGACTTAGCCGGGAGGAACTTCCAAGAAATTTCCACCGACCATCCCCACATCCGCCACCCGTGGGACGCTCCCCATACGCGGTAATGAGCCCGCGCGAGGTTATGCATATATATATATCTATATATATATATATATATATATATATATATATATATATATATATATATATATATATAGAGAGAGAGAGAGAGAGAGAGAGAGAGAGAGAGAGAGATAAGGGGAGTGGGAAGGAATAGCAATATCCAATAACTAAGTCCTGGCAGCCACCCGCACTGCACTGGTCGCCCTTGAACTTATTCCCTCCCAACAGTTACGGGACACTGCTCTCCTTTACAGGACTAAATAACTTTACCGTCCTTTTGTTAGCATTGTACATTATCTTTATTAATTAAACTTACATCAATAATTGTAATATATTATTACGCTAAATATGTTATTTTGTACAGAAGTAATAGCAAAATAATATGGAAATATGTTAACAGATGTTATGTATTATGTGACGGAGGAATTAATTGTGTTTTTCTTTGTCGAATACAATAATTCTTCTAATATAATAGACAAAAATATATGTTCAAGTTATGTTTCTTGGGCCTACTTTTAAACACTAACGAGAAAAGTAATATTTAAAATAATGCCTCGATCATTGGGTTATTGTTTTGGCCTTAATCCTCACTCACCGTTCAACACTTCTCTTCTGGTTGATTTGTAGAAATTTCATTATAGGGGAAAAAAAAATTGGTAAGTCGTCAAAAATTAAAATCTGGATATAAAAATAACCTTATTTGAAATGTGAGGACAAAGAATTTGATGAGAAAGTTCTATACATCTTATGAAAAATCAACCAGATGATACGAAATCACTGATAAACGCTGATTATGGAACATGTAAGAAAAAAATATTCCTTTTTTTTGGGGGGGGGGGAGTTTGAGAATGTAATCTCCAAAAATATTTTTTTATATTAATATAGAAAAACGGCTTCAACACTAATATTTGAACATTTGAAAATATCACACATTACAGTCTATCACAATTTTTTTTTTAATGCTTTAAATTTTAACAAAAGAGTTTTGGAATGTATATAATATAGGAAATTTCAACCCTATTAAAAAATAAAATATTCATTATTATTTTTAATAAAAGTTTTTTTTTTTTTTAATTTCTTTATTGAGTATTATAACAATCTGTCTGTTGGACATTGGTTATAGTGAGGTAGGATGACATTCACACCATATGTACAAAAAAATAAAATAAATAAAAGTTAAATATCTAAAATCTTCGTCGTAAACCAACGACTGCCTGTCCTACAGTTTCCTTTAACAATACTCCACTTATCCCTGTTGAGCAAATCCGATACCTAGGACTCCACCTGGACAAGCGACTAACTTGGAATCCTCATACTGGACTGAAACGACAAGAAACCGCTCGACGTTTCCGATTACTTCAGCACTTACTAGACAAACGCTCTAAACTTCCCATTAATTACAAAAGACTCATATACTTGACTATAATAAGACCTATTTGGACTTACGGAGTTGAGCTATGGGGCTCCACTAAACCATCGAATTCTTCTCGCATCCAATCCTTACAATCCAAAATCCTTCGTAAAATCCTCAATGCTCCTTACTTTTTCACTAATAAAATTATCCATAAAGATCTTAATGTTCCTTATGTTTCAGATCTGGCCCAATCCAGATACCTATCCTTCCATAATAAACTTCAAAATCATCCCAACCCTCTCGTTTCTAACCTTGCTTCCTCTTCAATTCCTGATAACCCTCCGAGGGGTCTGAAAAGAAGATGGCCCCGTGATCTCCTAATGTAGTCATATCATTAGAGTGCTACCATTGGGTAGTTACTCAGCAAGTGTATTCATGTCATTATATCTATTATGTCCAAATTTACTAAATGTATTTATGTAATACAGTTGTAAATGTCATTAAGAAATAAAAAAAAAAAAATCTAAAATTGGTCTGGTCTATATAACATATAATTAAACGATTATAAGTATTTTGGATTTTTAATGCACGATTTTTGCACATTTCGAGTTTTTTACTACACGAAAATCAGGTTTCTAGTTATAACAATTAGTTTGGTAGATAACATTACACTGGTAGTATTTTTATTTGATTGTTTCCTATTTGTAATTTTTACCGTTTTATAAAATATTATTATCTCCTTTTTTTCTTTCTCTTCCATAGAAAAACTAATTGTACGGATATTCAATTCAAAATAATTATTTGAAAAAAAATAACGTTGTTATTTCTACTGTAACAGTTAAAATTGTTAATTGTCAGTTCTCATCTAGGACTTAGACGCCATCACCGCAAGTGACCCAGATGCTGGGAGTGAAAAGGTTAATGGCATACAGTTTATTCTGAGCTTTCACTTCAATTACCATTGCACCGTTAATTAATTCAATTCTATGACGCAAATGTATTATTATAATTTTGACGTAATTTAATTTGTTCAATGAGATTTTTATGTCCCATTTAATATAAATAAAATAACGTAGCAAGAGCTGTCATATTGAAAAATAGCCCTTTCTCTTATCCGTATAAGCTTTATCAGTGAAGCATGATTGATTTCAAATGGTCTATTTTATAACAATTATTAGTGGAGCTTCATAGATTACTACGACTGTAAAGTAATAAAAACTTTACTTAATAAGTGATTTGGTCGTCTCACAGGAATATATCCCTTCAGTTTAATAAGCATTAAGAATCAGCTGTCCCTGAACTTATACTAATCCATTATTGAACTCTCTCAAAAACATTGATGCAGAAGTGCCTTACTCAGAATATAGGAGTCTATTAATGAGAGCATAGCATAGCATCCTCCATTCGATCCCTACTTCCGACCTCGATCCTCCTCCTCACCGAACTGCGTTTGACAAATCCTTTGTAATTCAAGCCGAAGTCCAAGAATTTCCAGTACCCCAGATACTACTTTATTTTATATTTCTCTATTTATTTTATAATTATGCGTGCTTTTTTATATCTTTACATTACCTTTATTTTTACTTTATATTACCAATTATTTTATAAATATTTAATTATGTATTGGACACACTAACATGTTCATTCATAATTTGGTCTGAAAATACACTAGTCCTAGAATAATAAAGTTATTTTAATTTCATAGAAACCATACTGGGACATTTTTTAAAATTTTTATTTATTACTAAAATAACAAAATAACAAAGTATATGTTTTATTCGGTGTCTAAGGGAGATCATGGAGCTCCTCTATTTATATGTATCCTCCTCTATTTATTGGGCTTTGGAACATAAGAACTAACCGGATCTTGATTTTCAAAATAAAAATAAAAAATTCTCATCAGGATACGTCTACTTTTGATAACATCTGAGCTTTTAACCTTCTAATTTTTTCAATGACTTATACTGCCGTACTAAGGTTTTCAGTATTGAATTAGGCATTTGTCACTTCTCCATGATTTTTTGTTTTCATTTAATACCTCATTTATCAAAATCTATCTCTCTTCAAAGCTGGTAAAGGAGGAATCTGCACAAACCTAATGTATATAGTGTAGAGTTTTAAAGAGAAAAACAGTGACAAATCCTCGGTTTTATATTTTTACTGATAGAAACAAGCAACAGTAATTGACTGAATGTACTATGGCATGTATAAAAGGTTACTCAATGATTTTTCTTAAGTCTACTCTAACATTCAGTTCTGTTGTTTGGCTTCTACATTTCTCATCCTACTCTTCTTCCACCTTTGACATACATAAGGAATTTTCCCTAATTTTTTTATGTGTCTAATGGCTTTTTATGTTGTTCTTTGTCATGAAATAATAAGAGTAAGTCCGTGTCCTTGATGTCTTCTATTTATTAGAAGTACACCATGTCACCTTCTTCAGGTTATATTTAAGTAAAGCTTATTCGTTAAATAGCCATACAATGAATTAAATTTTAATTATTTCGATTGAACCTGATAATGGGTGTTGTTTTGCAGGAGCATTGCGCCGAGTTCGAACAGCTGGTGATCCACGAATGCGACCTCCTGATGTCCGCCCTGGAAGCCAGGAAGCAGGAACTAGTGGAGTTCGTGAAGCAGCAGAAGGACTCGAAGGTGCGGTCGCTGAAGGAGCAGGTCACGGCTTGCACTGCCAAACTCCAGCACACAACGGCCCTCATGCAGTTCTGTATCGAAGCCCTCAAGGAGAACGACTCTGCTGCTTTCCTACAGGTAACAGAACAAACTTTTTATTTTATCCATATCTATACTTTATATATATATATATGTATATCGAGAAATCTAAAACTGAAGGTGTACAATGCTATGATAAAGCCAGTTCGAATATATGGCTGTGAGAAAGATTTGAGAGGAAAATCTTCCGCACGAAAACCGGAGCGATCTGGGATCAAAGTACGTGGAGAAGAAAGACCAATACAAAACTGCTTGCAGAAACTGGTCAATCAATATATCATTATATGTAGCACAGAGGTTAAGATGGGCGGGGGATGCAGCTCGTAGCAATCCCTCTGAAAGCCTCAATGTAACTATGAATGTCTCATTAGAAGACAAAAGACCTCGTGGAAGGTCAAAAAGCAGATGGATAGATAGAATCAACAAAGATGCAACAGAGCTCTGTGCAGATAACTGGAAAGAAATAACCCAAGGCAGGTAGAGGTGGAGTAGACCTGTTAAGGCGGCAAAATATCTACATGGTCTGAAATGGCAACAGGAAAAAAAAAAAAAAAAAAAAAAAAAAAAAAAAAAAAATATATATATATATATATATATATATATATATATATATATATATATGCATAAATAATAAAGCATTCCTTTATCTATCATCTATTGTTTAAGATCAATTTTTTCCGACACTGCTTGTACCACATCACACTTCAGCGAAAAAATGTTAAAACTTTTATCGACATTCGAGATTTCGGAAATACCTCTGAGCATTCGAGATCTCCGAGAAACCTCTGAGCATTCGAGATCTTTAAGCATATGTGGCATAGAATACAATGAACAGATCTGAAGGTCGTCGGGGCTTCAAATTATTAGAATTTTAAAATATGAAGCCATTTAATTTTATTATCAATATAACTTCAGGATGTTTCATAATGGCTTTGTATACTTTTGTATATATGTATATGGCTATGTATGTTTCTTAAAATATCCCTGCCTGGAACACTTATATTATTGCTATTGTAAAATATTTGTAGTTTCTTATTATTCTTTGCAATTAATGCTGTGACATTAATCCTATTGTAACTGTTTTACGATGTCAGTTTTTTAGTAACGTAATATATTTTTTTAATGTAAAGTATTTTTATGGTATACATTTCATCTTATATTGTCATTTCTGTTAACTATTTGTCCGCTAACTATTATACTCTGAAATTAGTGCTATGACATATTTCCTAGTGTACAATACATATAATCTCATCGGAATCATAATAGATAGTTGACAAACGATTCTGTTTCTCGAGACCGTCCTAATTGTATGATATCTATTATTTAGCCGAGACCGCAACAAGACTTTAGTATGACTGATGATTCGGCCATGACTTGGACTATTATAGGTACAATAGGCCATAAGTACACTATACTCAGCAGAGCACAAGGACATCGCTTCGGTACAGATTAGTCCTCGGGAGCCTGGGAATAAGATAATGGAACTGCTGAGGTGGATGGTCTGGCGATAGTCTATGTCGTACTTATAACAACGTCTACCTTTGTCTTATTACTACTGAAGCTTTTCAACTCTAAAAATTGCATACCATAATTATTTAGAAGAAGAAGAAAGTAAATTTTATTTTAGGACATTTAGTTCCCTAAGAATCATGAAAACGAACACAGATGTGACTTTTGTCTGGCATTAAATGGCAGTAAAAAAAGGTGTGTGATTTAGACCACACGGTAAAAGTGAAAACATCAACAATAAGAGATTAATAATATGAAATAAAAATCATAAATAATTTATGAATACTTACAGTATGCAGGTCCGATTGTTGGTTTCTGAGATATTTTAATCCATATTTTTCGTAAAACTCTTCATCATTTGGTTTTCGACACTAGTTTTTTCTTTTCACCACTCTAACTTGGCATCGCGTTAAGATACAGTTTTGAATGATAGCTCATTAAAGTGGGGATGCAATGTTGAAGAATTCCCTCTCTTAAAGTACGCAGGTCCGATTTTTAGTTTCTGATATATTTTAATGCATATGCAAAAAAAACTTCAAGTAGTCGACTCCGGCCGACTGTACCCGAGCGTTACACATCGGAAATCTGACGGCTCAATCTAATTCACTCTCCACAAAAAAGTTTAAAACAGGCATAAAGAAGTTTTTTTACTTCAAAAATTATTAAATTACAGTGTTATGTATCTTTAATTTTTTATTTATTTATTGAAATTTAAAATTATAAATAATAAAAATATATCTAGTAAATATGAATTATTAATATGACATGTACAGACTTAATGAGAAACTTCCTATAAGTAGCACTCTACTAATAGTTTTATAACTCAATAATAGTTTTACTATTTACATTTTACTATTTATTTTATTCTCATTTCTTATATAACTTTATATTTCTTTTTTATGTTTTTACATTTTATTCTAAGATTCCCAATGTAACACTTTTGTCACCCCCTTCTTGATTATGCCTACTTCATCATTCCACACTATGTAACAGTCTGTATTATTTATCTCTTAGTTCTTAGTCATTATTCTAACAATTTTATTTTACTTTATATCTATCTTTTTTATTTTTCTTTTATCTAGATCTAATCTATTTTATTTTCTCATTTTTTTTTTGTTATTATCTTTTTTACCATCATTACTTAAGTTTCTCATACCTTGTTATCTGGTTATTTTCTTAGCCCTGATGATGGCCTGAACTTCAGGTCGAAACGTCGGCAGATGTAAAAAATAAATATTATAATTTATTTTTGCCTTCCTTTTTTGACTGAGCACCCCAACTATTCTTCTCTTCAATAATAGTTTTATATTAGAAGGTCCCGAAGCCATCATGTTTTTAGTTGCCCAGGAGGGTAGTCAGGAATCGAAGAAGATGCAAGTTCAGAAACTAGCGTATTTGGATAAGCCAGAAGTTGTATTATGGAAGATATGGCATTTGGATTGTTAAGATTAGTTCCGAGATGCATTCAATGGTTTAGTGGAGTCCCGAAGCTCAACTCCATAAGTCCAAATAGGCCATATTGTAGTCAAGTAAATGAATCTATTATAGTTAGTTAGAAGCTTAAGAGTGTTTGTGTAGTAAGCGTTGAAGTACCCGAAAACGTCAAGTAGTTTCTTGTCGTTTCTTCAGTATTTTTTGAGGATTCCAAATAAGGTCCAAATGGAATCCTAGGTAGCCAATCTGTTCAACATAGATAAATGGAGTATTTTCAAAGGATATCATGGGACAGGTTTACTACGGAAGGTATAGATGATTTGTTAGAATTTATTTTAATCCTTCATTAAAATATTTATTCCATTCTTCAAGGTTTGAATAGAAAAGTTATTTTTATCAATTTATATGTTTCCTATACAGCAGAAGTTTTCTTGTTGACCATGCACCTTTCATTGGGATGTACTGCTTATTTATTCAATGATTTATTTCAGTTTCTAAAGATTTATCTTTTCCCTGATTCACTTCATCTACCGAATGAAGAAAATATATTTTTAAAAAACCGTCCTGCTTGCTCGGTTGATGACTTGCCTTCACATTTTGGGATCCTATACACTCCGCCTAATCCTTTTACCGTTCGCACCTGACAGTAGCTAATTCAGTTTACTGACACAATCGGATTTGATTTCACTTCAGTCCTAATTGAGCCGAGTCGAATTCATTTTCCTCAAATTATTTGTCTCCCGTTTCTTCCCTGATAAATCCCTTTACCATTAATCACTCGAAGCGCACCAGTCCCTGAAATCCTTAAATCTGTCTCTTTGGCTTTTAAAGTGATTTATTTTGGAAAAGAATTTTCAGACGGTTCTAAAAGTTTTGTCATAAAAGTCTTTCTCATTATTTTATACTTATTTTTATTTATTTTATTTTTCATGTGGATTAATGTAAGATTTTTTCCATGCAGTATTATTTAGTCTATATTTAATACCTTACATTTAAAAAATATAAATATATATTTATCACTCGTACACGTAAAATTATTCTGAGACCTCTGGTTCCCTTTAATTAATATAATATAAATGTAAAATTCCAGAGACATTAAACTGGATACATATAATGATTATGAAATGAATGAAGTAAAATATTTATATTTAAATTGATATATTTACCTGCTATTTACTTCAGTTTAGGATCTTGTTACTTAGATCACTCTGTTTATATTTTAATGTACTTACTGTTTATAATTTTAATAAGCTTATTCACATTGTTTAGAATTTTTGGTTTAAATATTATGCAACTTCCACAATTTTCTATCGTTTTGTATCTTGTCCGTTCTAACCCTGAAGAAGGCCTGCAAAGTCGGGTCGAAACGTTGGCTTTTAATAAAATAGTTTTACCGCTATTTAGCCTCTTTATGACCGTCATCCCTGACCATCTCCTTCCTTTACATTTAAATATATTCACAGATGAGTATATATTTTACATGTTTGCAGCGTTATACGAGGAAAATAGTTGCAATGAAATACCTATAATTTTTTTTTTTATAATTAGTATGAACATTTGAAAAAAAAAAATTTATACAGAAGTGAAAGATTGTTAATGGGGAGATGAAGAAATAATTGAGGCTTGAATAAAGTTAGTGATGGGGTTTTACGAATGGAAATAGGCAAAGAATTCGCAAAAGAGGTTGGAAGAATGATAAAAGATTTTTTAACGGATGTAACCTCCCTTAGAATTGGATGCATTGCCAACAAAAAGAAAGGATAAAGGCACCTTAACTCGGTATACCAAGATCTCTCAGTTAATATATTTGAAAAAAAAAAATTGATCTCTTCAGATACTAAAATATTTGGGTTATTATTAAAAATGCTCAAAAATGCTCTTTCTCTCTCCCTCATACTTATACATATAGAATCGCTGTCATAGAAATTGCATCACTTATTTCTTTTAATTCTTATATTGATAACGTGGATTTCATTGAATGTTTTTCTTTAATTATTTAGGCTACAAGACAAATTTTAACAATGATGCTCAGTTCAGTTTTAACTAAATTCAGAATAAAAGCGTTACCTGAACTGAAAGAATTTTCAGGAGAAATA